CTTTAAAGAGAAAGTACAAGGCTCTATGGTATGAGAATCCTGTCAATCCAACTCAAATATTCTCCAACTCATTTATTCTACAAATGGCAGAACAACAGATGCAATTTGAGAAGACCCTCCGTAGCTGTGAATTATGGTGCAGAAAACAAAGGTCAACACGAATTTCTTTTTTGCTGGCATTGGCAAAAACACCTGTGATTTCAACATGGAATCAATACTACAAGTCGCAAAGTGTGAAATATTAGAAAGGCAACACCCTGCAGTAGCATCATTTTTGAAAAACAGAGTCAGAGAGGAATCATCCAGTGTGCCATCAAAAGCCATGTATGAAAATACCTGCCAGTATGTTGCAAAACTTGAAGAGGTCAGCACCTTTTCAACCAATACCCTACAGAAGTGTGATACTGAGATAGCTAAATGCAGCCCTGCTGGAGTACCCAAAAAAGGTACAGTAGTTTCCACTTTTCAGAAGAGATGATAGTGTTTTTATAGTAGAAAATAGACCTATATTAACACACAAATTGGAAATGTTAGCCATATAGGTTAATACATTTATGCATTAATCTCGAATCAGGACTTGGGGTGGGGAGAAAAATTTAAAATTGGCTTCTGAACTTTAATAGTTGCTTTATATGCACTTTAATATGCACTTTAATATAGGTTACAAGGATGAGTTGGATTTCCTATCAAAGAGTATAAGACCTCAACTTATTGAGATTGACACTTCCATCAAAGGAAAGGCACAACAGGCTCGTGAGTGCATGGATGCAGCCAGAGAGAAGCATGGGTATTCAATTGTGTACAAAAGTGCAAAGCGGAAAAGAAAAAGTGGAAAATCAAGTATGTCCGCACATGCAAGTCAAGCCAAGGATGGTGATTATAAAACAACTACACTGATTAATGAAATCAGTGATTCAGATTCAGAATCAATGTCAGAGGAGCAAGATTAAAAAATTGTTTGATATATACATTTGTTAATTGTTTTGTTGGTATTCTTGATTCCTATATTAATATATAAACAACTATATACATGTACATATATTTATCTACTATTGTTGTTGCTATTTTAAAGTTGTTGTTGGTATATAAAATGAAAAATTATGTCTATTGATAATAACAGTGTATATATATTTAATATAAAAAATATTATATTCGAGCTATTCTGATATTCTCACAAAAACGTTTTAATTCTAGTAGCCAAATTTTAAAATTTTCAAAATTTTATACCCCATTCTGCTCGCACACTGTACACTTTATTTCTTTGCACATGAAGGGCGATCCATGCATGAGTTCCTGAAAATTGTGCATGTGTCATGTGACAATATACCACTAGAGATTTGAGGAAATTTTAAAAATATTAAAAGCTAAAAAGCCAGCATCTTCTCTCTGACGCCCGCACTCTAGATTTCAGCGGTATTCTTTGCCAAAGCCAGGTTTGCAACCACGTCTAGCGCATTTCACATATTTTTATATGACTCTTCTATTATTTAAAGTCTTTTATTAAAGTCTTTCAAATTGTTATAAAAATAATATTTAATTAAAAGGTTATATATTATGGATTCAGGTTAATTTCTTCAAAAGCCTCTGCGGAGGAGAGACTTCTGACAATCACAAGGGTGGAAACTTGGATGGTGTGCTCGATATTTTTTTCGTGCGCATTTGTCCTGCTCGATATTTTTTCATAACAATAAGTGCTTGCTCGATATTTTTTTTTGGATTTACACAACCCCCCCATCAAATATCTAATGGTCCGGCCCTAATTCAATGAAAAATATCAAATTTATCGCCGGACGATAAAGAGTTGACAACCAGATGTGAGTGTAACACTCCCCATTTTTTTGAAAATTGAGAAATGAAGCTGAGTTGGTCAATAAATTGAAAATGCTGTTAGGGGCAACTCCCATTGTGTAAAGGGGGAATAGCTTTCCCATGAATTTAGAAGAATCTACAGGTAGTATAGATAAAGAGGTATTTATTAGCATTCTCTGAAAATGCCATTTCATACGATCTAGAGAAATTTTATGCTCAGTGCCCTAAAGTTAATTAAGCTTCTTATGGCCTAACATTATGCTCCTGCTTTTCTTGAGCAAGTGTATAAATGATACACACTGATTTGGATTACTAAAGACGTCCAATGCATTTATGAGTGTTTTTCTCTTTTTCACATGCATTTTTTCTTTTAATTGAAGATGAAAATAATGTACTGTCAGGATATATTCACTGCTTGTCTCCAATCAAAGGAAAACCTGGTGCAAAAAATACTTTGATTTTACGATTCAGACTGAGAATGATGTTGTAAGGGGAGTTTGCTTCTCTCCAAAAAAAAAAGTGAAATTGAACACTTCACCAAAACTAAATCACCTGTCAAAATAAAAAGGTACAGTCAAAACACAAAGTATGGCGCAACTAACATTGTCATTGAAAAAAATACACAGCTGTCCGTAACTGACGATCTTCTATTCAAAGCTGCCGAACTAGACAGTGGCAACACTGTGGCCTCCTTAACAACTATCTGCCACAACCAGACAGTTACCATAAATGCCAAGCTGGTAAAATTATATGGCTCAAAAAGAGTTCCAACAAATAATTTGACAAAGCAAGAGGGTCTCCTGGCAGATAATACTGGAATAAAAGTGGTCTTTTGGGAATCTTTCGTGAACATGGGTGAAGAAGGCAAGAGCTACAAGTTCAAAAACTTTGTTTACAAAGATGATAGATTTGGGCGATATATCGGCAGTGCCTGGGAAGGCTCTAGCCTGGTAGAAATTGATGATATTAAAGATGCTCTTGATCCAAAGGTCGATGAGGCAGATCTTGCCAAGAAAGATGCTGTAATGATGATTATCGGAATTAGCAGTGTTCAGAAATATCAATTTTGTAGCAGTTGTAAGAAAAAAATTGAAAATTTCGATGAAACCAAAGTTGCCGTTACATGCACAGCATGTATTATCTGTTCCAGAAAACCCCCAAAGTTTCCAAGCAATGGGTAGTCAAGTTTTTGGTTGAAAATAAAGAAAATTCTAATCGCTTTCAACTCACTGCATTTCATGCAGTTGTTTCCCAACTAATGACGACACTAGTTTGCCAGATGACACCAAGGAGGATGATTTAAAGCTTTCCCTTCTTGATTTGGAAGAGTTTGCACCCATTTATGACTCAAGAAATAAAACTCTGAACATTAGACAATTTTGAAAAATTGGACCTTCTTCGGACCACTTGAACCTTCTTAGATGCATACAACCAATTCTAAAAATGTTGTCCTTTGCAAACCATAAACTCTAAACCTTAAGCACACAAAGCTTAATTAGAGCACAAGCTTCAAGCTTAGTAGTTGAATATTGCAGCTATTTGTGAATGAATTGTTCTTGTAATGAGGAATTTACCATGCCTCTAAGAGATGTACCCCATATATCATTTCTAAACTGATGCATGCTTAGAGTTTAAAGTTTGCAAAGGACAACCTTTTTTGAACTAGGTTTATATAGTACAGGAAAACCTTTATCTATTTCCTGGCACTTCATATGTTTTGTTAATAACTGTTATGTTGGTATAAAAATATAGTGTTGATAGGGTTTTTAAGGAGTGTAAACTGTTTCAGAAAACCTCCAAAGTCTCCAAGCAATGGGTAGTCATCACGTTTTTGATTGAACATAAAGAGAATTCTAATCGCTTTCAACTGACTGCATTTCATTATGCAGTTGTTTCCCAACTAATGACAACACTATAGGTTCGCCAGATGACACCACGGAGGATGGCTTAAAGCTTTCTCTTCTAAATTTGGAAGAGTTTGCACCCATTTATGACTTAAGAAATAATACCATAATAAAATTATTGTAAACTCTGAACTATAGACAATTTTGAAAACTTGGACCATATGGATTGTTTCACTGAATTGAATGGTGGTATTTTCATCCACATAGCATGCACTGAACCAAAGATAAATGAACCTCCAAAGTAAACCGATGATCCCAAGTGCTAGGACAGCATTGTTTCAACAATCAGTTTGTATTTCCGGTCCAAGCTCTCACTAAAAATTTAGATATTCTGAAATACCGAAATATAAGATGCAAATCTGTAGATACAAGCTTGAAAATAACACTCTGAATATTGTTTTGGATTCTGATTCAAACAAAACTATTACGAAAAAGATATGTTGAAAGGGACCAAAGTTCTGTTTGGCGAAAGGTTATGCACTTATGCCTCAACCTCATACCCAGGGTTTTATCTCCGCTCACCTCCCGCTGCGAAAAAACCCTGGTCCAGGCTGGTCACGTGCTTCCCAAAATATGGGAAGTGACAATTACTTTACTTGAGGGAGGGGTGGTTTAGGTTGAAATTGTAATCCCGCAAGGAAATAGTGCAGATGTATTGTATTTAATCGTGTGAGGTCTTAAACAATAATCGAAACCAGGTGCAATAGTTCATAAAAAAGCCAACGATACAGTTTTGGGATAGTAGTTACCCTGTTATGGCCAAAAATATGCCAACGAAAGTATACGGAGCGCATAATTTGGAAAGCAGCAGTTGTTGTCGGCTGTGTAAATCAGTCGGTGATCCCGCACATCGATATAAACTATTTAACAAAACTAACAGCGAGATCCTTGCCATCGCTGAGCATATTTATGGCCATCCACTTCCAAAAGAAGCAGGACTGCCGCAACTTATTTGCAGGCCATGTGAAAGACGCCTTCGTAGTTTCAGCGTGTTTAAGAATACAATTGTTCAAACGCAATCAACTTTGACCAAGTTCAAACAATGTAACAAAGATTCGCCTGGCGTGTCACGCGTATCGAAAAGTTTAAAATCGGCACAAGAACCTCCGCAAAAACAATCCCAAAGAGCAAGACAACGTCTCTGTTTTATGCAATCTTCGCATGGGAAAGAGGTAAGTTTTATTGCATTCACGTAACAAACACAAAAATGCCAGTCGACATATACAAACAATGCGAAATGTACATATTGTTCTTTTTAATTGTTGCAATTTATTTTAAGTTTATTATAATGTATTTATTATAATGCAGATACGGTTACTTTATTCGCTTTAGTATATTATAAACATACAGTGTGTATAAAAAAAGTCATAAGCCATTGAAATTTAAATCAAGCATAAACGCCGTATTCTATTGAAATTCATCTGACAAGCTATACAGTATAATTATCGTTAATTTGAATTTGACTAATTTGAAAGAATGTATTTTTTTTATATACACTGTATAGCAATGTACATTTTGATTTTTTGTTCAAAATTCTGTGCATATTTGTATCGAGAATCAGTTTCTAAATTGTTTTTGATATATTTTATGTGCCATGAATAAAGGATATGACATACCAGAATATAATTTACAATCTCTATAAAGTTTAATACGGTTGTAAACAAAGGTAATTTATTAAATTGTCTGATTTTGCGAAAATATTCATTCTTTCAGAATGCAAGTGAGTCACAAAGTACGGGTAGGACATTAATCACTTCTCCAGCTGACAATTGCCAGGTTCGTATGTGTATTAATTAAATACTAAATTGTCAATTTAGTTTTACTTTTAGGATTTTTATTTCAGTCTGACAGTACAACCAACATGCATTACAAACTTACACAAAAAATCATTCACTTCTATTTTCATTAGGAAACTGTCAATGTGTCAAACGTGGAAACGGAACGTCGAATCCAAATGGGAAATTTGCTTTCACTGATTGAAAAAGAATTGTTGGACATCACTAGAAGGGAAAATAAATCAGTCCTAAGAGAGAAAGATTACCCTGCTTTGAGTTTGCTTAATTTTCATGACATTGTAGAAGAGATGAAAAATTGTTGTCCAACTGTGTTTCAGATCTTATCCAACATGGTTCAATACCATATTAACAGAGAGAAGAATATTGTCTCTCTGGGGCTTATATATGCAGTTATTATGTTCCGCAGATGTCACGAGTTGAGTCGTGTACAGAGAGTTAACACCGTACTTCTAACAGTAAAGTACTATGGCATTGTAAAGTACTTGGCAAGTAAAATACTATGGCATTGGACAGAGTATTTATAGTAAACTACTAAAGTAGGGCATGCGAGGGTTGACAGCATGCATGGGCAGATAGTCTGATTAACCCATTGAGTGGCACCCTCTCCCCTTGATGAGTAAAATTGTCTGGTGTTAGACAAAGTAAAATACTAAAGTAGGGCATGTGAGGGTGCATTATTGCCACTTAAAGGGTTAATGCCTAAATTGGCTAGAATTATATTTACTACAATATTTACTCTGTTTAGTACCAAACTACCAAAGACATTATCTGCCTAATATCAGATGAACAAAGAAAGACAATTTCTAAACTACAGTATGCATTCATAGGTTTTGCCAGACTATCTGCCCATTTCTACAGTATCATTACAGTAAGTTAGTCAAATAGAGTTAGCATGCATATTCTACTTTGGAATATCTGAAAAAATACTGGATATTCAGGATAACAATTTGACATGACAAAAACATATTTTTAATGTTATAATGACCATTGGTGTTCAGATATGGGCGAAGTCTGTGTTGTGGAAACATGGCTAGTGCTACAGTTATATATTGTTCATATCAATGGCCCATAATGCTAGTATGTGACCACTGTCGCGTTCCGCCGCGATATTCTATCGATCAATCGAAAAACAGTCGTCTCAAAAACACATATAATTCTTCCAAAATATCACATCACAAAATATATCTCTACACTTGTTTATTAGACTCGGGCTTATATAGAGCCTGATTTGCATTACGCCTACACAGTACAGAACAATACATTTACAAACACAATACAATTACACAATACAAATACAATAGCCAGTCAACCATGCTGCCATATTCCCAACACCACAGTAGAACCAATTTCCAGTTTTATTCCCATTTAGCAGACAGGTGGAAAATATGCATTGTTATTGATAAGGATTTGAGTTTAGTTGGTAAGATGCCTATTAATGTTTTGTATAGACCACACAATGGGTCATTCTAGAAAAGATTCACACTTCCACCAAGGAGGAAATTTCTCCTGTCCAGAGGGAGGAAAATTGTTTCTGATAATAGTAAGTGTATTAGAACATCTAAAGAGGATAGAAATATGGGGCCTGAGGTACAGTATGGATGTTTTCTGGAATGACCTAATAAATAGGGCACAATTAAATTTATTATTTTTCATCTGGTAAAGAAATGGTTTGTTTGCTTACTTTGATAGACAGTAGCATCCTAGTAATTGTTCCTTTGATTGTTTTGCTAGACATGACTTCTAATTATACGGTGCATTTGTTATGTTGTACATTCTGAACATTTACACTGCATTTTACAATAACTACAACAAACATGAGGGTTGTCTTTCATGACATCATGAACGTCAAGACATCCCAACAAAAACATCCTAAGGCAGCTGTCCTCAAGTTTGCAGTATTCACAAATACTGTCACTAATTCCAGGCCGGCTCATTGCAATATCACGCTTGTTGTAGTATAAGACAGCTGTTGATTGTTTCCTATCACGACCTGCTCGCCCGGTCTCCTGAAAATATTCTCTAATTGTATGTGGTGGCCCAACATGAATAACATGTCTTATACATGGTATATCAATGCCCATTCCCAATGCAACAGTTGCAAATACAACTCTCAATTTTGACAATGGTGAAGACAGTTCAGTGAGAATCTGATTCTTCATAGCATTTGTCTGGGGTGAATGAAATTGGGCAAACAGCCTGTTTTCGGGTATTGCTTCAGCATCAAGAGGATAGTACTGTTCCTTGCCCAAATGTTGTGTAGAAGTTCCTGAAAAAATTCAAGGTCATTGCCCTTTCTGATGATCTTTTCATAAAATATATTTGGCCTGTCAGGATTAGCTGTGATTTCCACTGGCTTTTTCAAATTTAAAGATTCCTTAATTAATATAACATCTGCCTTGCTTGCTGTAGCAGTGAGGGCAACAACAGGAACGGTAGGGAACGTAGCACACAACATTGCCAAATTTGAATAATCTTTCCTGAAGTCAAGTCCCCTGCAAAACAATATTAAAGACAAATAATTAATATTTTTACAAGTTGACGTCAATGCGTTATTAAAAATTTTGTATAATTTCTATAAAACATTTTTACTATACATTTACTAACTTACCATTCTAAAATACAGTGAGCCTTCATCTACAATAATCGATTGAACGGATTCCTGATAAGGCTTGCTCTGTAATAATTCCATTCCTTCCTTACAAGACAGGAATGCCTCGGGATGCATGTAAATAATGTCGTACTTTGCATCTTTGAGCAGCGAATTGGCGCCTGTAAAATCCAAACGCAAATCGTCGGTTTCTTTCCCTTTTTTAACATTCAACACACCTGGCTTTATATTTCCTTGGTAGCTTCTTTTAATTTGATTCTCGATGAGAGCATTTAGCGGCGATATTACAATAACAACTGGATGGTATATTGACGCACTCGTCAGACGTTCGTCTCCACCATTGAACTTGTCGTAAAAAAGCGAGGGCAGAAGATGAAAAATCAGTGGCTTTCCGTAACCCGTAGGTAACACAGCTACAACGTCTCTACCAAAATATATTGCTTCCAAACACTTCACTTGCTTAGGTTTCAAAATAATATTACAATAATTGCTATTTACTATTGCAAAGTGAAGACTGCTATAGAACATTGCCAATACGATAATGCCAAAGTAATTACATTTTGACGCACTGACCCCCCCAAGGGACATAGCAAATTAAAGTGTCACGTGACCAGCCTGGACCAGGGTTTTTTCGCAGCGGGAGGTGAGCGAAGATAAAACCCTGGGTACGAGGTTGCTTATGCCTTAGTTGGTAATACATTTACATTGTTCGGGAAAATTGTGTGAAATATGGTATCGCTTAAGAGGCTGTCTCCGTAAAAACCTCCAGGTCAATAATATGGGGCTCAAAAATAGATTTCTCTCACTCTAGTATTTTGAAGATCTATCCTTGGGAACAACTAAAATCAATTTCATTTTACTCAAATTTCCTTTAAACTATTTTTGGGGGCGATTGATGTTCAATCTGCTGGTAACCAACTTGAACTCCGAATGAAGCAAAATATCAACATATTTTCAGCGCTATTTTTTAAATCAAATTCATACCTAAATTTCAAAATTTTTGCTCAGAAATATAGACTCGTTGGTGATATGATTTAGATAATTATTCTTTGGTATAAAATAAAAACCAGCACAGTTATTGACCATCCTGAACAGATAACGGATATCATCTCAAAATATATCAACTTCGAAAGCTTACTTCAAAATCGTGGTGGCACTTGATTGGCACATAACTTTAACTTTTCTATAAACTACTAACATTAGTCAACACAAATCAGCAATAATATCTTTCTGATCTACCATTTGACAAAAATGACAAGTGCGCAAACTTTGAAAAATTTGAAAATGTGTCGAAATCGAGCATACTTTATCGGTAAACCTAATTGTTCATATTAACAAATAAAACCACCTTACACTACATTGAATGAAGCTTGATTATGTAAATATACGTCTTTCATCATTATTCTTTGGTTTTGCACTCGAAAGAAATTGTTTGACTATACAGTTTGGCTTCAAGGATAGTCATTTAATGTCAGTGTGTCCAGTGTGTTTGAATTCTGCGCGCCTCAATGCCATGAGTCCTGATTGTGATATACAAACTTCGCTCTGTTCACTTTGTTTACCTCCTGTAAATAAAATGTCTCAAAGAAATTAGAAAATTCAGAATTAGTCATACTACAGACATAATTTCCATTGGTTTGTTTACCTTAAACTGTTATACATAGTTTCGTTTTATAGAATGTACAAATTAATCTCGGGGAAAACTCCTAACCGAAAGAAATGTACTTGCTGAGCGTAAACATGTCAATCAAAGCATATAGTTAATATCAAAGACGATAAAATGCTTCGTTGCTCTCTGATTTCCCTTTATTTGTATTGCATTAAATAGTAGTCTCAGACAGTATTGCACAAGGTTTTGTGTTTACAATAATGGTGTTCTACTTCTACTACAGCTGCAATTTGTGGTCACACAACATTATAGGTAAACCTAAACGATTTTGACAGACAGTAAATTTTATGTTGACAGATGAGAATGATGGTAAGCAATAATGTAATCATTAATCATTTCTGAACATTTCTGAATTTCTGAAACTATTGTCGGATAATCAGATTCTTTCGCATGTTTGTGCATTTGTATTCGGCTTTTAACATATTAATCTTTATTTACTAATTTAGTAACAATTCCATAAGCCATTATTTTGTGTACTTTTTTAAGTTTTGTTTCCTTCTTTTAAGGTGGCTCCATACACTTTTCATCATTGGGGAACTGGTACCTAATCTTGAGTTTTCGCACGAAAATGTTAAAAATATATGCAAAAATAAATACAACTTTTTCAGTCCAAAATCCGAACCATAAGGCACGTTTATTTTGATGTTTTGAGTCTTCCTTGTTCTCATTTGTTCTCAAAGAATGAACTTTGTCTTTTTAGAAGACATTTTAAGGTAAAAAATGCAATGTTCAATGTTCAAACTCTTGTGAAAACTGGCGATCGGCCCGAGCGGCGAAAAGTTTTTTACTCAAATATTTGGCAATTTATAAGTTCATATCCAGATTTTTTTCTGTACTTACAACTGGTAAATGTATCCAAAGTGTTACTAACAGCAAAGGAATTCAGTGAAACAGCATCATGTGTGGCTCAAACTGTTTTAACTTGTCAACAACACAACATAAAAACACACAAGTCACGACTGAAAACGAATATAAAACTATGTAGAAAAGCCAAAAAGTTCATACATGTCACACATATCAAACCAAACGACCGACAATCACCTGTTTTCTTAGCGTTATCCCAAGTTAGCACTAAAACTAAATATATTTGCACTTCTAAGCAAGAAAACACAATATATATATTTGATATTTCAACGAGACTAAACTAGACTTAACTTTTTGTGCGTGTTTTTCTGGAGATGCGCCTGCGAAAACATGTATGCGCATGTCAATTCATTGATCTTGCAGATTGTTCTGAAAAACTTTGGCCGTGCGGAATAAAACCGTGATTATTTCCAAAACGAGTTTGGTAAGGTACCCTGAAAATTTGTACATGAGTAGATACGTACTTGAAGATTTCATGATGGAAAAATAAAAAAAATTGTTGACAGAAACTGTCAAAAAAGCCGAAATTTAATTCTAAAGAATTGGGTCGACAGATTTTTTTAAACTTGCCAGAAATGCTTCTTGACACTAACGTAACTGATTTATTAAAAAAAATTGGGGTCACTGAACTCATTTTTGAAAAAAAACTGTGATATTTTCGGCTATTTAGTGTTATACTTGTCATGGAAACGCGACTTTTATCAGAATTCTTCTTGTTTGCGACACGTCTTTTTATGTGTTACAATTATAAGTAAAACGTAACCCTGTAAAAGCATTTAAACAGAAAATATTCAACTTTTGCTCCTTTGGCTAAAAAGTGTATTGAGCCACCTTAAGGTATGTTTACACGCTGCGATTTGTCGGGCCGATTCAATGCCCCCCTTCTTTGGCATTTAGCGATTTAAACGTTCAATTGAAGCTGTCCGCTCTCTCGTCTGTTTATATTATAGTTTTCTGTGTGTGAAAAGTTTTCAACAATTTTACATGGAAAGGAAAATCGTTGAATCGTAAGAAAAATACGCATTTTCTTACAGATTTTTCTTCCCCATTTTGTGAATCGCAAGGTGCTGATGCGAGTACTCACGACAGGTTATTTACATACAGCAAGCAAAATCGGCCTGACAAATCGCAGCGTGTAAACGTACCTTTATTTAAATAAGTTTTAATTAACCAAACTTTGCTTCTATAACAGTCTCTTCAAGTCATTCTTGGGAGTTCGCAACACTGAGACTCTGAGTAGTTGTCAACAAAGGTCAAAACCGAGGCGAAATATTGCCAAAGGAAGCCATTTAAATGCTCATTTCATTAAAACGTTATTGTCCTACATAAAATCAAGTGAAAAATTCTGTTTTCTTTATGTGATTTATACTAAAACAATTAGACAACTCAGCCTCGTAATATAATATAATCACTTTAATCTTGTAGAAACACAACTAAAAACGTGAACATTTTCTTGAAAAGTAAACAACTTTTTTTAAAACGTTTGTATGCAATTTTGCAAGTGTTTTACAGTTGACAGTGTATATTAAAAAAGTTTAAAAACATTGTTTCGTACATATTTTTTGGTCTAGTGATATTCGTATCATATGTAGAATTGCTGTATAGACTCGCAGGTGATTTGGCACTCAAAACGAAGTATTATTCAACGCTTTTTTCCATTTCCATTTTTCCATTTCCTTTTTTCCATTAGCTTTTTTTTAGCTTCTTTGTTTTGTTTTGATTAGGCGGTTGCGTGGGATAGTTCACGTACTGGTCCCGTGAACATCCTGCACGCAACTGTAGGGAGCCTCCTTAAATATCCATTCTACATCTACAAATAATGACCACATTTATCTAGTGACTAAGGCATGTGCAGTACAGTAATGTACCTTCTTACCTCATAAAACTTCCCTTGGCATGTTTCTCTTTCATTCAAAATCTTCATGGCCACAACATCAGTCCCCTCATCCTTTTCCGCATCTGAAGCAGACTCCCCCATCATGGCAGACCAGTCATCCCTCAACGAGCATGCAGAGTCTTTGTGTTCAGGACAGAAACGGCTCTTTTTTCCTGGAGTGTTTTGACAGCCTATACAAGAATATATTGTGCAATTCAAAACATACGATATTCCCTGTTACATAATTAATAACACTTTGAAGCCTAAGGCTCTTTGTATCTCTACATCGCATCACACACACACTGCACATGTGTTAATTTGGGGCAATTAAGAATTGTGCTGCCAGAGGGGGCCCTGGAAACGGACCCACTTACCGTTTGGAATATTTTTCGGTAAATCCTAGTTCTCTGGAGTAATATGTTATATAGAAATAATAAAAATATGTAATCATAGCACAGTGCCCATGTTTGCTGATGACAGCAAATGCTATCGTCAAATAACCCAAGCTCGAGATCTTCTTCAGGATGACCTAAATTCCCTACACCAATGGTCTAAGACGTGGGACTTAAATTTCAATGCGAAGTGTGTTGCCCTCAGATTTACACGAAAGAAAACCTCCGTTCCACCTCAAGACTACTTCCTAAACCAGCAACTTATAAAGTCTTCCTCCACACAGAGTGATTTGGGTATCCTGGTGAGCGACAATTTAAAATGGTCCCAACACATCATCAATATCGTTTCTAAAGCCAACAGAATGCTTGGTTTTCTGGGCCGCAATTGTTTCCACCTCACTGACGTGGATGCTCGCCGCCTTCTGTATTTGTCTCTGGTCCGCTCTCACTTATCGTTCGGCTGCGAAGTCTGGGCTCCTCAAAGTGCGTCTGCTGATCTGCTTCATCTCGAAGGAATTCAATGCCGAGCAACAAAGTTTATTCTTCAGGACTATGATTTGTCATACGTTGGTCGCTTGAAAAAACTAAATCTAATCCCCCTTTCATACTGGCATGAAATTAAAGACATTATATTCCTCTACAAATGTAAATACGGGATGTCCGAAATTGGCATCAATCAGTATATAACCCAACCACTTCACCACTCCACTCGTTCCAGTTCTGGTGATTTTCGTCCAAACCTGTGCAAAACTTCCCTCTTCCGAAACTCATACTTTAACAGAATTGTATTTTTATGGAACAATTTACCGTCTGATATCAAATCATCTTCGTCAGTCGCCATACTTAAATCTAAACTATATATATATTACACTAGAAAGCTGAATAGTACTTTTGATGTAGACCGTCCTAGAACATGGAAAACTGTATGCAGTAAATGTCGTTCTTTACATACAATCTGTTGTTCATAGATGTAATTATAATTGTTGTATGTCCTATTGTTTATGTATATAATATGTATTCTTGTAATACCTATAAGTAATTATGTAATGTACGTTTTTGGTGGGACTTAATTAGGGACTCACGTCCTGTTGTCCTTACCTTCGGTCATTTGATTGTAAAGTTAATAAAAAAAATTAAAAAAAATAATGACTTAATTATAAATGCAAAGGAAATTTCCATAACATTTTCCATTTAAAAATGAGGTATGCTTGGTAACCAGGCCAGGGACCACTTTTTTGAAATCAGGGACCATTTTACCGAAATCTGCTAGGCTCTCTCGCTGAAGCGTTCCGCACAGCACACCCAGGCATAAAACTTTTAAGACTTATTTAAATATATCAAAGCAGCGAATAGAGAGAGAGAGCCTGGGACTAGGCTGCATTTTAATATCATGTTATTGATGTATTATGATATTAAAATGAGATTCAAAAAGCCTTGTCCCTACAGATTGTTTCTACTAAATTTAATGTTGGTCACAGACAGGCAAGCACGGTATGTTTACTACAATATTCACCTTTAACTTTGCTTTTACTGTAAATCTATATTTTCACGAATTTTGTGAATGTGATTGTGTATTAAAATATTGCTCCTAAAATTCTGCGCGTATCGTTGGTTCAGTAGCTCTGTTGCCGGTTGTATATAAAAACAGTTCAACGAATAACTTTGTAGTTTGAGCTGTTGATATCACAGAGACCTTTATACTATAAGTATAACAGTATTTTAGTAAAATTTGATAGTCATGTGATAGCTGCATAAAAGCTAAGCAAATACTTTTGATGTTTTGATATTATTGTATAGTTGAAATAGAATAGATAAGTGATCTGTATATTAGTATATATGGGAAGATTAATTTTCAACCATACTTGGCAGTTTGGGTTCTGTTATTATGTTCAATTATTTTCACTGTGATTTATTAAATACTGGGTATTACTGTATACAGTATGCCTGCTAAGGCCTGCTTACTGTATTAAAGTAGAGTAGTTGGTGGAATTATTTGATCAATACAGCTTTATAGCATTACAGAGAATGTAGTAAATTAAAAATATGATAACATTTCAGATAATCAGGCTTACATACTTGTATGTTGATGTCAGTTGCAATGCCAAACTCATAGAATATATAAGTGAGTATTGTGAGTCTAAAGAATTTTGATTGACAGTATTTGTGTTTTACTGACGTGAAACTGTGCCGGTTTTTATTGCAAAATAGGGCGAGTTTAGGCGAGTTAAGCAAAATTCTGTCAACTTCTCATTGCGAGATAAGGCGAGATTGGGCGATTCGATCTTTTTCTATTGCGAGATAGGGCGAGATAAGGCGAGTTAGGGCGAGTTAAGGCGAGTTAAGGTCCCAGAGTAGGCCTAAAGAATACGAGAGATTGCGTGAAACTTCGAGTCTCCACCCGCATATTACAACAGATTTATGTAGCACAGAAACTGTCTCAATTTGTCTTTTAAATATTAGATCATTTAAAAAACACAGTCTTGACTTAAGAGATGACCCAATCTTGTCCAAATGTGATGTGTTTGCCCTTATCGAAACTCAACTTTTAACCAGTGTACCAAATGATGATATTAACTCAATCCTTAAAGGGTATTGGCAACAAAAATTTTGATTTTATTGCTTCATCTGAAAGAGCATGAAAAAATAAGCCGATTGGCCGTTTACTGCTCTATTCTATCTCATCTGGTTCCGAAGTTATACGCAAAAATGTGCAAAATATAAATTGCTGATTCAGCATATTCTGTGACGTCATTAACTGGGTAAGTATGTTTATTGAATAGTAAACTAAAGCATAGCTGTGTTATTATTGGCTCAAATCAAATGAAATTTTGCATACAGATAGTACATGATGAGATGCATGGGAAAATACTTCTAATTTCGTTGTCAAGGCAACACAGTCGTTCCCAGTCCTCTTACACTGATTTTGAATAACTAGTTGCATTTATCTATGTGTATGTCATTTTCGAATTATTATCATGCAAGTAAACTTTTGGCATGCATAGGTATCATACACATACTTCTGATATTATTTTATTCTTATCAGTACCTTGAATAAAGCTGTTTCATAAAATTGGCGCAAGGGGCCTCGAAACGACATTGTTACCTTGGCAACAAAATTAGAAGTGTTTTTCCATGCGTCTCATCATGAACAATCAGTATGCAAAATTTCATTTGATTTGGGCCCATAATAACTGAGCTATGCTTCAGTGTAGTATTCAATAAACATACTTACCCAGCTAATGACGTCACACGTTGTGCTGAATCAGCAATTTATATTTTCACATTTTTGCGTATAACTTCGGAACTAGATGAGATATAATAGAGCATTAAACGGCCAATCGGCTTATTTTTTCATGCTCTTTCAGATGAAGCAATAAGATAGATGAAGCAATTTTTGTTGCCAATACCCTTTAACGATTTTTCTATACACAGACAAGATCATAAGACAAGTTCTTAAGTCTAGTTGTTTGCTACAAAGACACTATTACTATATGTGATACAGAATATTTCACTTCAATAAATGGTTTACGATTTTTACTTAATAGCTCCGATGGGAATACCTTATCCTGTCTACTGCTTTATCGTAAGCACGGAGGTGACATTCAGCAATTTATAGCTTGCTTACATTACATAATAACTAGCTTGGATATTGACGTTATATTTGGAGATTTTAGTATTGATTATTTTAATGAAAAGAACATTTCTTCATGGAAAGTACTCGCCGAGTCTTTAAATTATGTGAAACTTGTAAGTAAACCAACATTTGTTTCATCCGGAAGTCTTCTCGATCATGTTTACGTAAAACAGTCAATAAGCAATAAAATGGAAGCAAACGTTGTAAGTGTGTATTATTCAGATCATGAGGCTGTTAAGGTAACTGTAAGATTTTGACAAGTATATAGTTTCATTAAAAAATTTGACATGTAGTATTACGCCAGTAGTTTCAATAACGTTACGGTATATAACCCATTAAACTCGCACTATTTAATTGCAGCAGAAAAACTAATCGAATATTAAAAAATCGCTGAAATGAAAATCCAGTCTAGCAGAGACTGGGATGGGGGATTCTGGTAGATCCCCAAAGAGACTGACGTGAGGAGTCTCCTGGAGTTCCATGCAAACAAGGTATGTTCAATCATTTTTAAATTGAAGCTAGATGCAACATGTACATTGACTATACTTAGTATAGTACACATGCACTACATCTTAATTGCGCTGTAAGCTCAAATTCATCACTCGAAATGTTTTCTTTTAGGACTGAAAGTTTGAAATGAGACAGTTGGGGAAATTGTCACCAATTATGTTAAGGTATGTCCCAAAGTAGTTATGATTTATACTTACACCTGTATTCTAAAAGCTCACTCACACTCAAAGAGTGGAGGTTCAATCTCAGCTTCCCTTGAGTGTCAATGCTGTTTTTGAATAGCTGGACGGTCAGTAGTCACATAGTACGGTACGGCACTAACCCTCCAGCTATTCAAAAACAGCATTGACCCTCGAGGAAAGCTCAGATCGAATACAGGCGTTAGTCTTCCTATGAGTATGTATAATGAGTAAAAGGATTTATATTCACCGCTTTAAGAGACAATATGGCCCACTTACTCTGTCTAATGGCAGACGATTTTACTTGTCAAGGGGAGCGCGCTATCACTTAATGGGTTAACATTAAATCGTCATCTAGTTCATAAGGCACAAACAAACGATCTTATCTATACGCTGTCAGTATATCGATGAGCTTATTGTAGCTCTGGGGCAAATCCAATGAAATATATGTTCATATATTGACACACTGTTAAGGTCCATACAGACCGAACGTGATTCGACAACGCAACGAGAATTTTCAGCTTTTAAAAACAAATAAAACCGTCAACGGATAAAAATGTTACAAAATATGCAGACCAAATAGCTAAAATTGCTTAAGTGATTCCGAATATTTAAAAACCATAGAAAAATATTGAAGTTAAATGTCATTGAAAATTGAAAATTCGCGTCGCGTTGCCGATCGCGTCCGGTTTGTGTGGGCCTTTAAGTATATTTATATTCAACTTTCTGTAATTCTTTATTTTGTAGAAAAATGTTCAACACATCACTTTTTACAACGAAATGTGTTCGACTATCAATTGAAATGAAGAATGATGATATGTTTACAACGGAATGCTGACGCTCATTAATTTATTTCATCACTATTAAACTTCATTGTGGTGTCTATTCTGATCACGGGCTGGAATGGACGCTATGCATGTACGCTATTCAATTAATATTGCTATTAAAGTGGTTTTTGGCGATTTCACAAGTTCCTTGAAATACGGCTGTTAATTCTTCGACGACAAGTCTAACGTATATTGATTGGCCCTCATTATTGGTACCTTTACAACGAACATCGCCGTCTCTACTGGGCCGAATACTGGTAAATCATTGAAATTGAACTGTCGACGCTTCATAAAAAATAAACATTATAAAAGCTTACAGAAATGGTTTCCATGCATTAAATAACTTGCCAAGTTTGGTTTGTTTAGATGCAAGATTTATTCCGTGATTATATAATCATAATTCATACTCAAACTGAATATTTAAACTTCAAATAGTCCTAGTGATTGTTTCAGAATATTGTTCTTACACGATGTATACTGTAGAAAAATCTGTGATTCTTTTATTGCATAACGATACTTCGATGCGTATCTGCAAGTATTGCTAACTGAACTGTCAGCTCTTTCTGTACTATTTCTCCTCAATAAAGTCTCACTCTAAACTGTATTCGAGTTGATTATACTTGTCTATATCTGTAAACTGCCTAGGTATAGCGGCAACAAAACTTGATGTTAGCGCTACTGTACTAACTTACTGGTAATGGCTACCTTTTACAGTATGTTACAGTCAAAATACAAGAACCTCCCCACTTCCGCAATCTGTTGTAACTTACTGTAAATTGTTCTGTTTTTCTGTAGCGGTTACCAAATTATGAGCAAATATCGTGACAAAATTTAGTTTTCATTTGTATAGCCCCAGCGAGTTTACGCTCTGTAGAGCGTCTTCTTTTTTAATAAATTACGAAATGATAGTTCATTCCTCTCGGGTTTTGTTTTTCTTCAATCTAGCAAAGTGTTTTCATGTTATTGTAA